GCCATCTCCCTACAGTCCATGCCACCTCCCTACAGTCCATGCCATCTCCCTACAGTCTATACCATCGCTCTACAGTCCATGCCATCTCCCTACAGTCCATGCCATCTCCCTACAGTCTATACCACCTCCCTACAGTCCATGCCATCTCCCTACAGTCTATACCACCTCCCTACAGTCCATGCCACCTCCCTACAGTCCATGCCATCTCCCTACAGTACTCATACATCGCCTCTACAGTCCATGCCATCTCCCTACAGTCCATGCCATCTCCCTACAGTCCATGCCACCTCCCTACAGTCCATGCCACCTCCCTACAGTCCATGCCACCTCCCTACAGTCCATGCCATCTCCCTACAGTCTATACCACCCCCCTACAGTCCATGCCATCTCCCTACAGTCTATACCATCGCTCTACAGTCCATGCCATCTCCCTACAGTCCATGCCACCTCCCTACAGTCCATGCCATCTCCCTACAGTCTATACCACCTCCCTACAGTCCATGCCATCTCCCTACAGTCTATACCATCGCTCTACAGTCCATGCCATCTCCCTACAGTCCATGCCACCTCCCTACAGTCCATGCCATCTCCCTACAGTCCATGCCATCTCCCTACAGTCTATACCACCTCCCTACAGTCCATGCCATCTCCCTACAGTCCATGCCACCTCCCTACAGTCCATGCCATCTCCCTACAGTCCATGCCATCTCCCTACAGTCTATACCACCTCCCTACAGTCCATGCCATCTCCCTACAGTCTATACCATCTCCCTACAGTCCATGCCATCTCCCTACAGTCTTAGCCACTCAACTAGACGATGACACAGGTCGTTCCACAAAATGGGTGCCTTTTGCGTCCCTATGATATTTTCAGTAGAAATTGTGCACCAATATGGAATTTTAAAAGCCTGTTATATAAATGATGTGACCTTTTATATAGACCACATAGATAATTCAATACATCAGCAAAATTCAGCAAATTCACAAGTCCCTCCGTCAACCCTGTGTCACTTCTAGGAAGATTTGAACCCACTTAATCCCAACATTTCTCCAAGTTTCACCATCATGGTAAAGCCCTAGTTGCTTTGACAAAGTCATTTATGATTAGATTATTATGTATTTAATGTGATTAGTGATTAATTTACATCTGTCCCTCATTTTAAGGTCATTCTGTTACGTGAACTAAGCTCTCGTTTTAATGTGCAGAATTTATTCCTTAAAAAAAAAAAATTGTCAAAGAAACATTGAACATCTAATAGTCACATCATAGAGTAAAAGCATGTGAGCTGGTTCTGCTCTTTTTGGCAATTTCCTGGTGTTTTGTGGTGGGAAACTGAGTGGGTCGAGCATAACATGTCAACCGTGTTACCCATAGATAGGCTAGAAACATTTCCCCCAATTGCCACTCCCTGTTGCACACAATTAGCTTCAATTCCCCCTGTCACAGGGGGATTTATGTCTGACTTAAGAAGAAATCATCAACCCTGTTACTTTGTGGCAGCTACTGTAATAGGCTATACTATAGTCATTTTTTTTCAATTTAACTTCTTGAGATACTTGGAAAACTTGTTATTTGCAATACATTTGAGCATGTGCTGTTTATGACAGAATGTTAAAATTAGGTCAAATCAAATCATTTTTTAATCAAGTTATACTTCTTAAAAGGAAAAAGCTCTGTCACGAGTGAATGAAGGGAAGTGAATGTAGGGCAAGGGAAAAGTGTAGTCTAGTTTACTCCTTAATGGTTCTCTATTCCACCCCCATGTAGAGCAGAGCAGTAATCTGGTTAGGGGGATCAGGGCTGGGCGGATGCTGCCTGGGGCTGGGAGGTGGGGGGGGGTGTGTTAACCCTGCATTCACACACATCCAGACGGATACAGACACCGATAGGTGGCTCTTACACACACACAGACTGAGCGAGACAAAGGGGCAACAACACATTTATTCATTCTGCAGAAGATGAGGTGTATGCTTGACTGAGCTAGGCATAATCAGGACAAATAGGTAACTATGGTCGAGAGTCTTGCGTGTATGTGATGTGTTACAATTTAATTTTAAAAACTTCCCATTTTCAGTGGTGAACTCTGTTGGCTCATTGTGAAAGTCATGGATAGAACCATTGGATTCTTTCGAAGTCCTTTTTGTAAGGATTTACACCAAGACAGTTACACTACATATGTGCACTGTTCCTTTTTGTGTAGGCAAACAGGGACTCTTTTTCAGGCCAAGCCACCAGCATGGTGCTGCGGATTATAGCATGGTATATCAGTTACTGTTACTCAAGCCCTAAATTGTTATTATGGTTCTAATGCGATTTGTTATACAGCGCTGTCAGGGGTTGGGGTTAAGCCTTTGAACTTGACACATGCAGCAAAGTGTAACGCTGAAACGTCCTGCTTGCATAGACATGTTGCATATGTTAGCAGGTAGGTTGTGCAGACACAAATGAGGGTAATAAGCAAGCAGAAAGAACACTATGGTAATGACTGTCTCATGAGGTCTTCTGTCTTCCGTGGTTACTGTGAGGATGGGAGAGCCACAGGTGGGCCTCCTCACTCTCTCCCTGGGCTCTGAAAGTGAGCAGGGTCCCTGAGTTAACCTTACAGTCCTCAGCCCTCTGGGAGCTGCTGCCGGGCTTATTCAGGTTATTAGACAAACGTGGAAATAACTCTGCTAATGAGATTTGTGAGGGAAGCTGGCAGATGCTGTGTTCGCTCTGGGTTAGCATCAAGCAGGGCTGCTGCACTGTACCTCTGTCCTGGGTCGAGGCCCCACCACCTGTCCACATAGTCTCTCAGGCCCATGCAAGTTCAAGGGTGCGTGACAATGATGTTACCAGGACGATGGATTTGTCTGGATTGGCTTCCAGTCCCATCAATAACAGGCATTGACAGTGATCCTCATTCACATTTCTCTGTCCTCTATAGGATCGTAGAGTTGTATACACGCTGATGGAACAGTCCTATTATGGATGTCTTGCAATCAGAGTTGTGTGATAAGAGAGTTGTTTTGGATTAGTTAGTCTTTATTGGTGTTTGGTAAAGGAGCAGCCATGGGGTACACAGACTGTCTGTGATCTGTGTGGGTGGTTCTTTGCTCCTCTCTGGTGGTCTGTCCTCAAACCTTATCATCGTTATCACCCTTAAACACAACCAGTTACTTAATGATGGCTTAGGTTCAGATAGGCTTTTAGACTGGGAGAATGCAGATAGGAAAGCATTGAGTCTTACAGTGGGCAGAATAATAACAACACATAAACTCTAAAGAAAGCGAGCAAGAAGCAGCTGAGGAAGGGATCATAAATAAGTAATGGTAAGTAGAAGGACAAAAAAAGTGGGAGCATTAAGGATGGAAATGGAGGGTAAGTAAGATCAACAGATGGGTAAATAGGGGAGACAGTGAAAAACGAAGTACAGAAAGGTGGAACGGAGACTTAGGCTAAGTGAGAGTGAGAAAGAGGGAGTGCTGTTGGAATAGCTCTGTGTGTGTGTGTAGCATATGGGACCGGCCGCTGGGGTTATTGATGCTCACGTCGGCCCTGGCTTAAGTACCCTCAGCTGTGCCCGCTCATCTCTGCCACCCGTCCAGGCTGTCTGCTGACCGTGCCCTCGGGCATAAATAATGCCATCGTTCTGTCTTTGCGGCGATGACGGACAAGCAGTGGCTCTCCTGCGGGCATGGAGATTACAGTAGAGCCCTGGGTCACACTGGTAACGCTGCACAGGGGTATATGGCCACAGTCCCAAAGTGAATGATCAACTGTCAGTCCTGGCCCCTCACTGTCATACACCACACTAATCTTCCTATTATCAGCACAGCCTGAACACACACTCTGAACACGGGTTACCCAAACAGCACACATGTGCCCCAGTGTATGGCCCCTGAACGGGGCTTTTGTATAGGAAAGGAGAAGGGGAGAGAGAGATGAGGTCTCTGACTATTTTGGAGATTATTTTGTTAGTGCAGCCATAAGTCAGAAACAGTGTGTTACTGTTTTATCCCTGGTGTTTTATGACTATATGACTTCAAGCTGTGCTCTAAGAGCATTTATCTCACTGTGCTGTTCTTCTCTGGAGGGGGGCCAGGGTAAAGTCCCAGCCGAGTTTTATTGGTAGGTTCTGGATAAAGCTGCTGACTATTTTTAGACACTCTCTTGTAAATAACTGCAGCGGGGTCACAACGATCAAAGACATTGTCACTTCTCTGAGACGGACACAATTAATGTCTATCTGAATCACACAGGCGTGCCTTAGGGCAAAAATACAGTCACTTGCTTATTATACAGATAAAGAACATCTAGAGATATAGAGAACATCCACACATGAACATTCACTTGCACAACACATGCTCTCTCTGTCTCTCTCTGTCTGTCTGTCAGTCTCTGTCTGTCTGTCTCTGTCAGTCTCTGTCTGTCTGTCTCTGTCGGTCTCTGTCTGTCGGTCTCTGTCTGTCGGTCTCTGTCTGTCGGTCTCTGTCTGTCGGTCTCTGTCTGTCGGTCTCTGTCTGTCGGTCTCTGTCTGTCTCTGTCTCTCTCTCTCTCTCTGTCTCTCTCTCTCTCTCTGTCTCTCTCTGTCTCTGTGTCTGTCGGTCTCTGTCGGTCTCTCTCTGTCTCTGTCTGTCTGTCTCTCTGTCTGTCCGTCTCTGTCTGTCTGTCTGTCTCTGTCTGTCTGTCTGTCTCTCACTGTCTCTCTCTGTCTCTGTCTGTCGGTCTCTGTCTGTCGATCTCTGTCTCTGTCTGTCTGTCTCTGTCTCTGTCTCTGTCTCTGTCTCTGTCTCTGTCTCTGTGTCTGTGTCTGTGTCTGTGTCTGTCTTTCACTCTCTTTGTCCCTCTGACTCTTTCTCACGCTCGCGCTCCCACACACATGCTCAAATATGCACTAACAAAACAGACTGTGTTTTGACACACACACACACACACACACACACACACACACACACACACACACACAAACCTTGTTGCAGTGTTCAGATGCCCCTCTGTGTGTGTGTGTGTGGGCCAGACTAAAGTGATGTCCTTGATGGGGTCTGACCCACTTCTCCTGGCCTGCCTGGCCATAGTCTCTCTGGCCTGCTCCCCGTTCCTGGAAGCTGCTCTGCTGTCCTCTAAATCCCAGGAAATCAGCTCAGTTACACACACACTATCAATATCAAGGAATTCAATGAATGACGATATATTGATAAAATCACCAGTGTTGGGGTCAATACCATTTACATTCCAGTCAATTCAGGAAGTACACTGAAATTCCATTTCCAATTCTCATCAATGCTTTTCAATTTGGAAAATGTTGAATTGGAATTTGGTTTACTTTCTGAATTGAAACGTACTTAAATCCAACCCTGGAAACCACCATGTCAAATAACTACAAAAATCCTTGTTTTCAGTGAACACCGCTATATTACTTAAGCACCATTAGTCAAGAACCATTTAGGTGTGTGTACCAGAGGTTAAGAAAATTTTTACATTTTACATTTTGCAGATGCTCTTATCCAGAGCGACTTACAGTTTAGTGAATGCATACATGTTTTTTTGTTTGTTTTGTTTTTTCATACTGGCCCCCCGTGGGAAACGAACCCACATCCCTGCCGGCCAAACCCTCCCCTACCTTGGACGACGCTGGACCAATTGTGCGCCGCCCATGGGTCTCCCGGTCGCGGCCGGCAGCGACAGAGCCTGGACTCGAACCAGGATCTCTAGTGGCACAGCTAGCACTGCGATGCAGTGCCTTAGACCACTGCGCCACTCGGGAGTCAACATTAGAACAACATTACGTGCTAAGAGGGCATGCTTGTGTTGCACTAACCTTGTTCTCCTCATATACTGTAGTTTGAGTTCAAATGATTTGTTTCATGCAGACCTACAGTGCTATAATTTTCTAAAATTGGAATCGTTATGAGCATTCGATACATGTACACAAACGCATGCTGGAGGCACACATTCATGAAGACACAGACTGTTCAACACTCTCTCAAAGCATTCAACTTGACACACAAAGTACTTGAAGAATGTACACGTAACAGCAGCTGGTCAGACCACTGTGATACTCTATTCTATCAGCAAGTTCCAAAGCAAGCACACGGCAGAGAACAGCTAGCCTTTTCCAAGAGCCTTCCCTACGGCCAGGGTCAGCCAGAACCAGGTTCAGGTTGTCTATAGTCCACCACATTGACCACCCTCTGTCTCTATCTTACAGCTCTGTGTGCTTCTTAGGTTCTCCTTACCCCTGGTGACCTGTCCTATGACCTGACCCATGTAGCTCAACTGACTCATAATGTCAAGCCTGAGATAAAGTAATCCTTCTACCCCCCCCCCTTACTCCAACCCCGCCCCCCCCCCCCCCCAAAAAAAAAGTTGTAAAGTGGTTATCCCACTGGCTATAAGGTGAATGCACCTATTTGTAAGTCGCTCTGGATAAGAGCGTCTGCTAAATGACGTAAATGTAAATGTAAATGAGAGGTCAAAACACTTTAAGTAAAACTCTAACTGCTGAGCCCTCTCAGTCGGCCAGACACAGAGCCCCATCCAAACCCCAGTCGCCTGCCAATCGAGGTGTGAAGGACAAGGGCTCTAAATAAAAGGGGAGTTGAGAGAGGGAGAGGGGGGGGGGGGGGGGGGGGGTTTCTGAATTGTTGTCACCCGTATTTCCCCTCCGGCCCCCACCAGACACCCAAGCCTTGACTGGCTCAATGGAATAATAGATGGGGCCAGTGATAAATACACATGTCTATGGCACCTGAGGTGAAAAAAGGGGGTGGGGGCCTCTGTTGCCTTGGAAACAGGATTCCGTACATGCTCATTGGCTGTCTGGGATTTGTGGGGGGTATAAAGAACTAGAGTTTTGGAGGGTCTCTATAAACAGGCAGACTGAGAGAGAGCCTACTGTCCTCTTCTCCCAGGGGATACGTACTGAAAACTCAACACACAGCGCTCTTGGATTGTTTAACTCTTAGAGCTTGATTCGGTTCCTAGAGTTGAGTTGAAGGAGAGGGACTTTGTGTCTCATTGTAACGGGATCCGACCTTCGGTGTGACTTTTGATACTGAGAGAAGTTACCCACCATGCCTGGCGTGAACCTGGACTTCCTGTCGGCCTCAGAGGCTCCACAGCCCCTGGTGGGAAATCCAGGCAGCCTGTGTGCTGAGTCTGGTCTGGAGGAGGTGATCGGTGACCTTCTAGCCCAAGATCAGGCTGAGGAGGAGGAGGGTGAGGGGGGTGAGTGTGGGCTGGAGCTGACACTGCGCTGTGCCGTGGGGGAGATCCACAGTGACCTGCAGGCCTTTGGGAAGCGGGTGGATGCACGGCTGGAGGAGGCTGCGGCGCGTGTGGTTCCTCTGTCTACAGCTCTGGCAGCTCTGCAGGAGGAGAACTTGAGGCTGCGTATCCAACAGGAGAGGCTGGCCCGCCAGTTGGAGGCTCTGTGTCAGGCCCTGGGGCTGCCTGAACCCCCACCTTACACAGCCTTCGTCCCGGAGCCCACACCCAGCACTCCCAATGACTTCCAACTTCCATCCAGCACACCCCTCTGCCCTAAAATGCCCGATGGGCCAGACTGTGAACCTGAGGCCACCCCGGTCCCCCACCGTCCCACCTTTGCCACACGTCGTTCTTCCTCCACCTCCTCTCTGGTAGGACTAGGAGGCATCTCGCACAGCAATAGCATGGTATGCCTCTCTCTCTATGCCTGTATGGATCCCCTCCTGCCAAAATATTTATCATCAGTTCTAGCCTTTTACTCTTTACTGACACTCTCTTCCCTATCCCTCTTTGACGCCTAGATATTTTCCTCTAATCTGAATGACAGGTTTTCACATCTTCAATGAGCATCTGATCAGTCTAGGTTATTTTATGGTTTTATTGGCTGTACTAAATCAAATCAAATGTTATTTGTCACATACACGTGTTTAGCAGATGTTATAGCGGGTGTAGCAAAATGCTTGTGCTTCTAGCTCCGACAGTGCAGTAATATCTAACAAGTAATATCTAACAATTTCACAACATATATCCAATACACACAACACTAGTAAGAAATGGAATTTAAGAATATATACATATATGGACAAGCAATGACAGAGCGGCATGGACTAAGATACAGTAGAATATTATAGAATAGAATGGAATGCAGTATATACGTATGAGATGAGTAGTGCAAGATATGTAAACATTATTAAAGTGACTAGTGTTCCATTTCTAGTGCTCAGCTTGACAGCTTCAGTCTGCAGATTAGAGATCATTGTCAGTGCAGATGGCTGGTTACATCAGGGTTGGGGGTGTCATTGTGAAGAAGTGGATTTACCCGTAACTAATCAACTCGCCAGCTTTATCTGCGTGCCTTTCTGTAGCCCCTCCTTCTCTCCTCCTGTCTTTTTCCACCATCTGTCATGAGGACAGTTCCAACAGCATCTCTATCATCTCACATCATCACCTCCCATCCACAAAGACCTTCTCTCTTATCTCTCACTGTTTCGTGCCAGCTCCTCTCTCATTGTCTGTGAGTGTGTGACACCTGCATTTGTCACTGATGTGCTTTAATCCCATTGGGTGGATGTTGGGGTTTGTGGAGGTGCCCTCACTGCCCTGGAAGAACCTGGCAGAGTGTTTGTTTGTGCATGTGTTCCTGTTTGTTTCCGTGTTCTGTCAGGGGACACACTTCCTGCGGTGGGAGGAAGTATCCTGTTTGCTGTCATTTAATCTTCTGAGTAACCGCCTGGTCATGATGAAAGCCTCTGGTCTACTGCCCAAACACTGGGCTCCTACGATCTCTATGGTACTCTCCTCCTAAACTAGGTCCCTAACATTGTGTTGGACTTGGACTACACTTCAGTCTTTTAGGAACTCCTCACCTCTCTTCGACATTACGATTTTATTTGGGATATGTGGCTCAGAGTTCACACTTCACAGTGATCCTGGTCAGATACTGAACCATACCCCTCTCTGTGGCCAAATGATGGTTCACAGCCTGGGTGCTCTCTCTGATTACATCTCAGGTGTGTGACACACCAATGTCACTCCATCAGCCCCCCTATGGTCCAGACCCTTTGTGATTAGGGGACTCGAGAGATTGGACATGCTCCTCAGCGTTCTAGAGGCAATCAGACTGCTCTTGAACCCTGCAGCCGGCTGTAGTCCAGATCAAGAAGGTCAGCTCTGCTCTGTGTTTTGACTGGGGTAAAGGGAACCCAGCCAAGGAGCTGACAACATAGTGGCTCTCTCTCTGTCCTATGTTACTTACCTTCTAATTACTCTGATGGTATTAGTCTGGTATTAAACACCGGTACCGCTAACACTGACACAGATAGGCTCTGAAACCTGTTGACCTCTCTGCTCTGTTGGTTGGGCAATCAGACTGTATGTTTCTGTAGATTGGTGTCTATGTGAAGGTTTGCCAAGTCTGTTATTCCTAATAATGTAATGTATTCTGAGCTGCTCTGAGTGACAGAGCGTCCTGGCTCTATAGTGTATGTTTATTGTTGCATGTCCACATGGGTTGATGACATTTTGAGGGATATTGAAGGGAATTTATGTGGTATTATTCAGCTGGACAGGGTCCTTAGCCCAGTAATGCTCCCAGACCAGCTGGTCCTGTCAATCAGGCCTCTCCACCCAGAGGGAAGCTGTTCTCATTTAGTTCAGTCATGTCACAGACTGACAGATGACTGGGATGCATGGAAGCTGATCTTACCCGACCCCTACTCTTAACAATGTGGTAGTATATAGATACACTTCTGCCTCAACAGCTCTTACATAACCTAGTCCTGTAGGTCTATAGTATACAGACACTCTCAATGGCATAGTGTTAGACACAACTGGACACCCTTAGCATAATGTACACTCTCATGCAAGAAGACAAGAAAGCCTGTCTCTCTCCGATCATCAATTAATTATAGATGCAGTTCTGTTTACATAACTCAGTACTAAAGGTGTACAGACACATCACACAATGGCATAGTGTTAGGCACACCAGCCACTTTTGTTATTTATATTTTGTATTTTTCCCCCCAATTTCGATCTTGTCTCATCGCTGCGGAAGGCGAAGGTCGAGTCATGCGTCCTCCGAAACACCCGCCCGCTTAACCCAGAAGCCAGCCGCACCAATGTGTCGGAGGAAACACCCTTCAACTGACGACGAGGTCAGCCTGCAGGCGCCCGGCCCGCCAGAAGGACTCGCTAGAGCGCGATGAGCCAAGTAAAGCCCCCCCCCCCCCCTAACCCCACAATGCCCACACATGTCCATGCATCTGTTCCAGTGAGACCCTGTTTGTTTTGGTGTTTTTTTGCAGGGCCGTGTCCAATAACATTCCACTGCGGTCAAGTGGCTCTCACTCTGATCTGTCCCATGGGTCAGACCCCTGAATCTCAGTCCAGACCTCCAGAACCAGAACCAGAGGCCACCCTGGATCACACAGCTCTGGCTGCACTGGGGCTGGGGGGGGGCACCCTCTCCCTGGCTGGACTCTCTGGGAGGAGAGGGGGGTGGTGTGTGGGCTGATGGGGACAGTGCCCGCTGTCTGGGACGAAATTTGGACCTGCACATCTACAACAAAAGCAAAAAGTCTAGCAGACCAGCCCAGCCTCTGTAGTCTGCAGAAGGCATGTGGCACCATATGAAAATCTATTTAAGAGGTGTTATCTATAGGCTTTATGGCCACTTAAAATAAACAGTTACAAAGACAGTGGTATCTTAATGGAAGACTGTACTGTGTTTATGTCCATGTCTCATCGCCTTTCTTCGCCTGTCAGCAGTGGCAGCACACAAAAACCCTACATCTCTCCTGTCTGTAACAGCACTGACTGAGGTGCACTATCTGTTCCTGGACAATGTGCTTGTGCTTTTACAGTACTGTAGTGTGTATACTACTATATCCTGTAGGAGGAAGGAGCTGGCTTCTATCCTACACAATTTACATTCTTGCAGCTCTACAGGCCCATAGCCAAAGTAGTGCTTTACTCCTGTCACATGACATGAGCCCTCTGTTCATCATCATACTGCTTAGACAGACTGAGAGGGCATCAGTCAGAAGTGGCCAGTGATGTGTGAGCTAACTGTTGCTTGGCAGTGATGTCAAACCGCTGTAATAATCCTCACGCTCCGTGACAAGGCAGGAAGACTGAGGAGCTGGAGGGCCTGGGGAATCATGAGGGGTGCGAAAGTGTACATCAGGTTTCCCCAACTGGTGGCCCGCAGTCCGAATTTGAGCCACAAAAAATATATATATATACAGTAGCAGTCAAAAGTTTGGACACCTACTCATTCAAGGGTTTTTCTTTATTTGTACTGTTTTCTACATTGTAGAATAATAGTGAAGACATCAAAACTATGAAATAACACATATGGAATCATGTAGTAACCAAAAAAGTGTTAAACAAATCAAAATATAGTTTTATATTTGAGATTCTTCAAAGTAGCCACCCTTTGCCTTGATGACAGCTTTGAACACTCTTGGCATTCTCTCAACCAGCTTCATGAGGAATGCTTTTCCAACAGTCTTGAAGGAATTCCCACAAATGCTGAGCACTTGTTGGCTGCTTTTCCTTCACTCTGCGGTCCAACTCATCTCAAACCATCTCAATTGGGTTGAGGTCGGGTGATTGTGGAGGCCAGGTCATCTGATGCAGCACTCCATCACTCTCCATCTTGGTCAAGTAGCCCTTACACAGCCTGGAGGTGTGTTTTGGGTCATTGCCCTGTTGGAAAACAAATTATAGTCCAACTAAGTGCAAACCAGATGGGATGGCGTATCGCTGCAGAATGCTGTGGTAACCATGCTGGTTAAGTGTGCCTTGAATTCTAAATAAATCACAGGCAGTGTCACCAGCAAAGCACCCCCACACCATTACATCTCCTCCTCCATGCTTCACGCTGGGAACCACACATGCGGAGATCATCCGTTCACCTACTCTGCGTCTTACAAAGACACGGCGGTTGGAACCAAAAAATCTCAAATTTGGACTCCTCAGACCAAAGGACAGATTTCCACCGGTCTAATGTCCATTGCTCGTGTTTCTTGGCCCAAGCAAGTCTCTTCTTCTTATTGGTGTTCCTTTAGTAGTGGTTTCTTTGCAGCATTTCGACCATGAAGGCCTGATTCATGCAGTCTCCTCTGAACAGTTGATGTTGATGTGTCTGTTACTTGAACTCTGTGAAGCATTTATTTGGGCTGCAATCTGAGGTGCAGTTAACTCAAATGTACTTGTCCTCTGCAGCAGAGGTAACTCTTGGTCTTCCTTTCCTGTGGCGGTCCTCATGAGAGCCAGTTTCATCATAGCGCTTGATGGTTTTTGCGACTGCACTTGAAGAAACTTTCAAAGTTCTTGACATTTTCCGTATTGACTGACCTTCATGTCTTAAAGTTGTCATCTCTCTTTGCATATTTGAGCTGTTCTTGACATAATATGTACTTGGTCTTTTACCAAATAGGGCTATATTCTGTATACCACCCCTACCTTGTCACAACACAACTGATTGGCTCAAACATATTAAGAAGGAAATAAATTCCACAAATTTACTTTTAAGAAGTCACACCTGTTAATTGAAATCTATTTCAGGTGACTACCTCATGAAGCTGGTTGAGAGAATGCCAAGAGTGTGCAAAGCTGTCATCAAGGCAAAGTGTGGCTACTTTGAAGAATCTCAAATATAAACTATATTTTGATTTGTTTAACACGTTTTTGGTTACTACATGATTCCATATGTGTTATTTCAGAGTTTTGATGTCTTCACTATTATTCTACATTGTAGAAAATGGTAAAAATAAAGAAAAACCCTTTAGGTGTGAGTAGGTGTGTCCAAACTTTTGACTGGTAATGTGTGTGTGTGTGTGTGTGTGTGTGTGTGTGTATATATATATATGTGTGTATGTATGTGTATGTATGTATATATGTGTATATATATATATATAATATTTATTTATATATAATATTTATTAATTTTTTATTTTATTTTTTCATTGTTGGAAATAAAAGATGGTAAAAACACCAGGATAATCAGCTCCAAGTGATTTTAATTTTGGAAATCTGTTCCAAAGTATTACCATGCATAGAGAGACACGTGATTTTAGTCAAATATCATATTTGTTTGGGCTTCTTGCGGTCAATTTGCAGCCTACAACTTATTTCTAATCATGTTCCGGCCCCCCGACCATCCGCTCAAGAATAATTTGTCCCGCGGCTGAATCTAGTTGATCCCTGGTATACATGCTCCCCCTCCCACCTCCAAAAGTTCCAGGAAGTTTTCCTGAGATCCTCCAGTGCTCATTCCATCATAAATGTCAGCAAGCCTCGGTGTCTTCTCTGTAAACACAGCTGTAGGGGTTGACGGATCAGAAGCCTCCCTTTTCTGTCTCTCCCCTGGCCTTGTGTGTCCTGGTCCCATGATTTCTCACCAGCTGGAGAATGGTCTTTGAGTATGATCAACTACCTTTTGTATCTGTTTATATCTGTCCTGCCACTGACATTGACCCTTAGCTGAGGATAAAAAAGAATTCACACTCACATAGTCTAAAATGGATGCCAATCCTGATTTAAAAAGCTGTGTAACCTGTAAATAACCCATCATTCCCTCTCCCTCTCTCTCTTTGTCTGTGTAGTTGGAGACAGAGCCTGTGATGGCCTCAGAGCCAGTGTTTGAAGTGGAGCCCTCAGTGCAGGTGGCATGCTTTCAGTCCCCGGCTACAGTACCCAACGGCTCCTCTGCAGCTCGGGCCAAAGTCGAAGAACGGTCCGGAAAACTGACTGCAGAACAGCTGGCTGCCATCGACGATGAGGAGCTCCTGGATAAAATGGTACTTCCCCCTCCCCCATATCACACATGCTTACAGTCTTCAAATCCCCATACCTAGATGTGGTGTTGTTGTTTTTGTGTATTAGTTAGGAGTTAAATCTGATCTGCTGAGCGAACTTATATTTGGAAAGGTCATACCTTTACATTTGTGTGTGTGTACACTACACTCTGTGTGTATTTGGAGCTATGTGACTGAGTTTGTCTGAAGACCGACCCCTCTCATTCCTTCCGTCTGTCCTGTTCTTTCCGACAGCTGGATGAGTCCAAGGACTTTGAGGAGAGGAAGATGATCCGACAAGCCATGAGAGATCTGCGTAAGAGGAAGAGAGGTGAGATTTTTCCAAATCTAGTCTGCATTATGCACCTGCCTCATTTTCCAAATCTAGGCTGCATTATGTACCTGCCTCATTTTCCAAATCTGCATTATGTACCTGCCTCATTTTCCAAATCTAGTCTGCATTATGTACCTGCCTCATTTTCCAAATCTAGTCTGCATAATGTACCTGCCTCATTTTCCAAATCTAGTCTGCATTATGTACCTGCCTCATTTTCCAAATCTAGTCTGCATTATGTACCTGCCTCATTTTCCAAATCTAGTCTGCATTATGTACCTGCCTCATCTCTTGCCATTTTCCATCCTTATTTTCTGATCTTATTTTCACATTCTCCCATCCTGCTCTCAGAGGCCATACTGGGATGTACACAGGAGGAAATAGGTAGGAACGTCCTGTGTGTTTGTGGACTATATTAATACAGTATGCATCCGTGTTTGTCATTTATCAATGTCCCACTTGGCTGTATCCCCTCATTGTCAACCATACTGTCCCACCAGTGCTGTTATCGAGCTTGACACTCGTCATTTAGTTTTCTCAGTGATACACATTGATCATGAACTGACCAGCAGCAACAATGAACATGAGGAACCTGTATGGTGAACGATGAGGGATATGTTAAAACATCTGTTGAAACGCATGAATCTTGATGTTTGTGTGACTACTCACCACGGTGCCATATGTGATATATCAGGATGATGCAGGACTTTCTGGTTCACTCACTGTCTCAGGGCAAACACACCTTATGTTGTTCCACATATGGCTGGCTGGGTGTAAAGTGTTGACTGTTTGTTGAGACTCCAGACAGGTCTCGGAACTCTGTGTCAGAGAAGTTTCCATGGGCTTAATAGCTAGCCACCCATTTCATCCCTGTATTACCCGTAACCCTAGCCAATCTGTTGAAACAGTAAGTGAGAGACCGGAGGTATTTAGTTCCATTATAATGAGCGCTTAACTGTGTCTCTGGGGCTTAGGAAGGTAAATGGACAGGTAAGACTGCTACAGCTCCCAGGCATCGGGTAACAGTAGTGGTGTTAAGGTATCAGTGTTGGACAGCGTTCAGTAGCCTTTCTATGCCAGTGTCTCAGTGGTCTGACGTGATGTTCAGGGTCTCTTTGATGTTTGTTCAGCACATGCCCCACCACATCACAGCCTGAGGTTGGTTGTGTTTGTCTTTCACCTGTGGGTGGCTGTTTGTGTTCCAAGGCATTTGATGGTGCTTTGGAAAGAATCTTGAAATGTACCTCTGCAAACATTCAACCCATGTTTAGTTTGGCTTTGTAGCAGATGAGATGCTGTCAACTTGTTGAGTGCCTCTTCTCCCTCTTTTTCCACTGACCTTTTCCTCCTGCTATCCCTCCTCTCCTCTATCTCAGACCAAAGAGAAAAGGAGAGAGAGGTTCGTCTTGTGGAGCTTCGGCAGCAGAGAGAAGAGCGTGCTCAGAAGGGTCGTACGGGAGGAGGAGGAGCTGAAGAGGTGGTGATGAGGAAGGTGGAGAAGTCAGCTGATGGCGCCACCCTCAGCCAAGTCACCAAGACAAACCACTTCGCCCAGTCTGGTAGGCCAATCATACACCATGTCTTAGGCTGACAACATGGCTGATACATTTGGGCAATACACTAGCTCCAGTTTAACAGTGCGTGATCTTCCGAGGTCAGTTGAAATGGTTCTAATGTATTTATATGTGTTTGTGTGTCTAGGTGATGGCAGCAGGACAGCTCACAGCACCATCATGGAGGCCAGTTATGTGAAGAAAACAGACAGTGAGTCATCAATGCATCCTCCTCCTCATTTAAATCATCATCATCATCATTTGATTGCTATATCTTCTCATCCATATATGGTGTTATGTGATCTCACCACCACCACCTCCCTGTGTTCTCTAGTGGGGACAGTCCAGTCCAAGTCCTACAGCTACTCCTCCTCTACCTCTTCCAGTTCCAGCTCCGCCAGGAAAGTGGGCAGGTGAGAACTGAACCCATATAATTCTGTGCCTAAACCCTTCTCCTCAGCAACCCCTATAGGATTAACTGAAATTGTGTTGAACGGTAATTTACCCCTTCTCTATCTTCCTCCCTCCTCCCTTCCGTCCATCAGTGTGTTTGACCGTGAGGATGACTCGGCTTCCCGTGCTGCGGAGCGCCGGCAGGCAGAGAAACGTAAGGAGCTGATGAGAGCCCAAAGTCTGCCCAAGACGTCCGCCGCACAGTCCCGCAAAGCCATGATCGAGAAGTTGGAGAAGGAGAGCGGAGGGTAAGGATAGAAAGAACTGAGAATAGCAAAGAAGGAGAAGAGTTGAAACATGTCTATACTAACATAAACCAATCCCCCTCCTTCAGGCCAGGGAATAAAGCGGTTGCCAAGGTGAACACGGTCCAGCGCTCCGCTAGCTGTGTGGTGCCCAATGCCAACTCCATCAAACAGATGCTGCTGGACTGGTGCCGCGCCAAGACCCGCTCATACGAGGTGAGCCAACCCACTATGGCACTATCCTGAGTGTCCAGTCTCCTCAAAGATCTGAGGCATTCACACTAGTTCATCCTGCTATGAGGGTTAGGCCTTTATATAAGCCCTCTACTGCAATCAAAACATGCCACCATGTCTTCTGTCAGCGATGCTGTGTTCTCTCATACTCTTGAGTCTAGTCTATTAGGTGACTAATGACATTTGGAAGCATTGGTTAATGCTTTGTGATTTAATATAGTATTTCTCTCTTTTTCTTCTTTCCTCCTCTCTTTCAGAATGTGGACATCCAGAACTTCTCGTCCAGTTGGAGTGATGGCATGGCATTCTGTGCCCTGGTGCATAACTTCTTCCCAGAGGCCTTTGACTACTCCTCTCTCACCCCTGCCAACCGCAGACACAACTTTGAGGTGGCCTTCAGCACTGCAGAGTGAGTACACACATACACAAATGCATACACTTGTAAACTGTCCGTCATGCATGCACTCATAGATGTACTGAATGTGATGTCTTGAAGTATGACATGGAATCAAGCTTCACTCTTGGAGTTGCCCCATGGTCATTTACAGCAGAATGGATCAGGATCTAAGTGAACCATCCTCCGTCCCCAAGACCATCAATCGTCTGACCACCCCAAGGCTCTGTTCGTGGGAAAGTAGCTCTAGCCAACTCTTTGCCTACCCATTGAACTCAAAATCCATCACACATCTTGAGAACCACAACTTCCCTCGCCTTTCTCTGCCCCAAACCAACACACTCCTCTTTCTCTGAACAGATATGATCCCTCTATTGGGTATGTTTGTTTGACCTCTGTAAAATCAACACTGAGCTGCCAGTCTATGGATTCCTCAGGCTCAGCAGGACTGGACCTCTGGGCTCTCACCATCCTCTTAGCCTTACTACCACCTAACTACCAACTTACTACCACCTTACTACCACCTTACTACCACCTTATTACCACCTTACTACCACCTAACTACCACCTGCTGTGGTAGTTAGGTGGTCCTCTGTAGCTCAATTGGTAGAGCATGGCGCTTGTAATGCCAGGGTAGTGGGTTCGATCCCCGGGACCACCCATACGTAAAAATGTATGCACACATGACTGTAAGTCGCTTTGGATAAAAGCGTCTGCTAAATGGCATATTATTATTTATTATTATTATAACTACCACCTAACTACCACCTAACTACCACCTTACTACCACCTAACTACCCATCCATGTACAGTAAGAATGCCTGCCTGAGGGAGGAAGAGAATGTGCATCCACAGGATGCAGCCTTTGGATTCATCAGATTCACCTATTGGACTCAACTCACTGTTTCCAGGGGCCCTACAGTAAGAGGGTTGGGGTGGGCCTGGGCCCACTGCTCAGTTGTTTTAATCTCTCCTCTCTCTCTCATGTCTGTGCAGTCGGCTCCTGGATCTGTTACTACTACTACTACTACTACTACTACTACTACTACTACTACTACTGTTACTACTACTACTACTACTACTACTACTACTACTACTACTACTACTACTACTACTACTACTGTTACTACTACTACTACTACTACTACTACTACTACTACTATCTCCTGTACCTTTAAACCTCCACTCTCCATCCACTCTCTCCTCTCAGAGATGCTCACCTCAGTAACCGCTGTGTGATGTGACCCTCCATCCACCAACCCTGATCTAAACCAGGAAACTCCTGAGACTGACCCCTCCCCAAACAACCAACAGGTTACTACAGTACAGGAAGAGCACTCGAATGACTTCCTCCCAGACCCCTCTCCTTCCCTCTCTCCTTTAATCTGGCCATCTCCTCCTCCTCTTCCTCACTCCACCTCTGTCATCTCCTCTTTTGATGAGGTCATGTACTGCCAACCTCTGTCCTGTCACCCACCAGTGTCTGCTGTGTTCACCTGTCCTGTGATGCTGCTGCTGAAGATAACGACCATGATGACGTAAACCCCGGATTGTCAAACACCTCTTCCTCCTAGCTACCCCCCCCCCTCACCCCCCAACCCCCTCTTTGTCACTGTGCTGCACTGTCACTCCCTTACCAACCTCACCCCCCTCACCCCCTGCCACTGTGCCTCATCTGGAACCCTCTCACACACCCCTCCAACACCCACACAAACACACCATCCTGTGTTTCTCTTCTAGGTTCACCCTGTGGTCCATGTCTTTATGTCAGTGTAAGATTATTTTTGTTTTGTCCTTGCTCTTGTTTTTGTACTGGACATAACAAAGCCAATGTTCTATTGTTGATGTCTCTATACCCCCATGCCCAAGTCTTTTCTCTCAGTGCACAGAAAAACAAACAAAACAAACAAAAAGGCAAAATGGACGTCTCCTGACGCTTCATTTGACATTTTGTTGTGTCTGCGTGTGTGCGCATATGTGTCATGTTGTTCATGAAGCATGTCAACTCATGGATATGTTTGTCAACACAGGGAATGTAATGTTATCGTTTCTTTTTGTGTCTTCTCTCTCCCTCTCTCCACACCCTGGGTATTCCTCTCATTTGGCTGCTCACTGCTTTCTCTCTCTCTCAACCTCCTTCCTTCTGTCTCCCTCACTTTATTTCTATCTGTTCACTTTTCATATATCTGGACTTTCTCTCTATATTTCCGTCTCTTTTCCTCCCTCTTCTCTTTCTCTCCCCCTCCCTCGCCCCCCTCTCTCCCCCTGCTCCCCCTCCGGGGTGCGGGTGCAGGAAGCTGGCTGACTGTCCCGAGCTGTTGGACGTAGAGGACATGGTGCGGATGCGTGAGCCAGATTGGAAGTGTGTGTACACGTACCTGCAGGAGTTCTACAGGGGCCTGGTGACCAAGGGCCTGGTTAAAACCAAAAACTCCTCCTAGAGTCGCACCCCTAGGACCCCAAATGCACTCATGGTGAGAGAGGCAACAGGCCCACGGAGGAACCACATGCTGGTGCTGGAGGTTTATGGGGTGGGATTGGTGTGAGTGGGAGATTCTCAATTGAGCAAAGGTTCATACTCTACTTGATTCCTCTGTCCTCTTCTCCGCCGTGACCCAGAAACTGATAAGTGGTCGCCATATGTAGGAGAATTTGTTAATTGGTTAACCGAGGAGTTTCCTCATCTCCTAGATTGCCTCCTCCAGCGGAGGATACCAGAGATTTTCCTCAACCCCTTGAATCAGCTGTTGTTTACTCGGAGGAGAAAAACATGCACACATTTAAAAACCATACGCTACTTATACATTTATCCATCAAATGTCTAGCACAACTAGCTAATGTATTTTGACCCCTTTACACATTACATTTTGGGATTCCTCTACTGTACACGTCAGCTGCCTGATGACAAGCTTGTTGCGAAGGAGTCTTATTTCATACATGAGCATTTGTTTCCACGTTTCCTCTCCTCGATGACTCCTATCCTCGATTACCTTTGAGCTTTTTCAAAAGGAGGTGAGGAGAGGACAGAGAAGAGGACGTGAGGAATTGAGCAAATCCAATTGAGATTCTCTCAGTGTGTGAATGAGGAGTGCATGTTGTGGGGGGGGATGAATGGCAGGATCAACAACAGTGCCACCAGTTCCATCATATTATGATGGTGAAGTCAGACAGGAGAAGAGTGAGCTATCCATTAATACAAACATGATCATTATCCTGCAGGAAGTCATATGAAGTGGTAGGAAGTGCACTCTTAGTGTTGCACTGTCTAGGTACAGGTCGGAGCGCAGTTTTCTCCGCCCTGTGAGCCAGTGCTGGGGTCCAAAGGCCCAAACATGGATTGTGAGGTTGTGACTAGAGTCAGAGCCAGGCTGCAGCCAGGCGGAGGGCCAGCCATCAGCACACCCCGTCTGCAGCTCCACACTTTAAAAGGAGCTGCCGCAACACAACAGTGGAGTGGAAACAGAGATTGGAAACAAAGTGGAGGAAAAATAAATGTCAGACCTGTGGTGTGTGAAGCATGTGTATCATCTCCCCTCATTTAGTGACTTCAGAATTACTGATGTTTTTGTACTTTAAGTGTATAAAGTCTGGTCAGTTTATAACAACCATTGCTGAATGACATAAATAGACTTATCTCCTTAGTATCTAAAACAACAAAGGAAAACTTTTAATACAGAGTTTTACGGTGTTGACATTTGTGTTTGTCTTTGAGGGGCTAGGTTACTATCTGCTGGTATAGTAGCTGTGCTCTCTGTGTCCCTGCCACCTTGCAGCTGTTTCCCAGAGCTCTCCCTCTCCTCCTTCTCTGTGCTCCTGGCTGGGCAGCTCACACTGCCATACTGTTGTCATTGTCAGTCAGCTACAGTACCTTTAGGGCTTAGTAGTCAAGTGTGCCACCATGTGGTTATATGCATGCATTGCACATATATTATTTTGTTGACCAAATGGCAGAATATGTTTGGAATGCCTATAATGCTTTTTTGAAACAAATACTTTGTAGAGTGTCTCCCTCTTGCCTGGTTAGTTTGGGTGGATGAAAAAGCTGTTATGAGAGCAGCGTTTGTGGAGAGAATGTCATATTTTATCCTTACCATCACTCCGTTCATCTCTCTCTTTCGCCATCTCCCCACCTCTCCCTTTCTCCATCTCACCATCTCGCCGTCTCCGTCCCTTAGGGAATGTGCCAACTGCATGCCCCTGCTGGAGGTGGAGGACATGATGATCATGGGGAGGAAGCCTGACTCCAAGTGTGTGTTCACCTACGTGCAGTCACTGGTCAACCACCTGCGCAGGCACGAGATGAAACTTGCCAAGGCCTTGGCCAAACTCCAGGGCACCGACTTCTGATCTGCCCCTGTGCTCACAGTGTGGCCTTCCCCATCGCACCACTACACAGTACCCCTCCTGTCCTCCTGAGCCCTGTCCCTCAACACCACCCCTGTCCCAACAGGCTGACAGCAGCCCAGACTCTGAGTGAGAGGTGTTACTGATTTGCACATCTCTGATGGCCAACGGTGGAAGAGTGTTTGTGTAGGTGTGTGTATCTGTCTAATGATTATCTTTGTTGACGGTGGTGGCATGCCAGACAGATAAATTCCCCCCCGCTGGACACATATTTGTTCAGGCTGTGCGACCCTTCCCGAAGGAGAACTCCAAAGTTTTCATAATAGAGAATCTTTTTAAGCTTTAATTGATATGTTATACTGAAATGTAGTTGTAGTCTATCAGTAGGCAATTATATTCATGCTTTGGAAGTCCCTGAGGATATGGCACCAACAAAACCCTACATTAAATGTACATGAGGAAAATATGAATTTTATTGTACTCCTTCACCCACCTTAATGCCTACATTGTAAGATGTTACTCAAGCTGTTGGTGAAGAAAAATAATCTGATATATGATGCATCTGTTTATATTCCTTCAGTCCACACTGGTACTGTTTAAGGTGTTAACGACTGTGCATGCTTTTTAAAACACATCTACTTGAATTGTTTTAAATAGTCCTTATTATTCCTATTGTGTTGTTAATAATAATCATTATTACTATTTAAGTTTATTCATAAGCACTGGTATGGAGGGATGTTATTCAGTCATTGTGTTATATAGTAGTCGGCATTATGACATTGGTGGATCTGTTTGTACAGCCCTATGCTGAGTAAGAACCATATCTGAATCTACAAACCCAGATGAGGTTAAAGCCAGACTAGGTTGTAATAGTCATTTTCTAATACTGACATGTTATGATAGTAGTTGTGTAACTATAATTAATTGTGAATTTGCACCACTCATATTTACATCATTTTGGTCTGAGTGGAGAAACCAGTGTTGAAAAGTAGGTTCCAAGAACTTCTCAAACAGGTAAAATCACACATTGGTGTTGTTTCTAGATTATCACATATTTTCTCAGCTTTTTTCCCCTGTCCTTGCCTCAGTTTGTTACATTGGGGCATAAAAAGACTCAGCATAGGGTTGTCACATTCATGTTTGAGACGCCAGCAAGAATAAGGCTGTGACCTCGACGATTTCCCTTCCAAATAAAAGTCCAATGAAGATGGTAGAAAAATAATACAAATGGTTGAAACTCTTAACATTCTATTTGGACATTTTGTTTCCTAATAAAATGTTAGAATTTGGTTTAACAATATCAAAAAAGGAAAATTGTTTCCCAACGCCCACACGATCAGACTGACCATTAGAATGGCCACACAGAGTGATTTATTAGACAGAGTGATGATTTAAAAATACAGTTAAAAAGACTGCATGGGGGCTATAAGGGACACAACATTAGCAGCGATGATTGATTGGGGTGTAAATTCTGTGGATTTGGAAACTACAAGTGCTCCTGAGTAGAATGGACACCACTTTTACTGGACACAATGTACAGAACATTTTGTACAGTCCAATAAATGATAGGAGTACACACACAAAAAACATTGTTGACCATTTAGGCCTGAAAAAAGACATATCATAGAAATACTTTAAATAATTATTTATATGATAACTAGTATAAAATATATTGATAATTGTGCACAATTTCCATCATTTTCGCCCTAATTATTAATTTACAAAGTATACAGGATAGGACTCAAAATCCATGACCTGGACGTGCTTAGTTATTTTTGCCAGCTTCACAATGGTGTCACATTCACACTGCCAGCACATCCCACAGCCCACCCAACCCCACCCCAGCAAACACACACAGGGCTCTTTGTTGTGGGCTCTTTATTTATGCTTGGGACCATTAAAAAAAAATTATATATATAACCATATGCTTTGAAGTTTTGTTTCATGAGTCAGTCTATGAATCAAACCTATAGCCAGAACAAAGTTTATGGTAATGTAATTATTTGATAGAATATGAAAGGTTTGTTGGCGAGGCCAACTTCTCTTCTCTACATCCTTTGGCCCAATGAAGGCTGGCTTTCAGCTCAGTTGATTCTATGACTGATGAACAGGAGAGTATTACTGATAAAGGCTAAATGTACTTTATTTCCAATGTATATTTTCTGAACTTAAGTGAAGAAAAAAAAGAAATTTATTCCATTATATATTATGGTTTCTTTATCAAGAATTTTAAGACTTTTCAGTTGGATTTAGAACTGGTTCTGATGAAATTATCTGCTTCATTATCTGTACATCTGTAATTGAGACTTGAGAAAGTTACTATTTTTCAATATTCCGCTCCTGCCAATTTGGCAACTAGAGAGCTTCCACAAACTAGTGAATCCTGTACTGTACATACATGCTTGGACACGTCATAATTCCTTGTTTCTGTAGAATAGGACTGGCCACCCCTCAGAGCCTGGTTCCTCTCTAGGTTTCTTCCTAGGTTCCTGGCTTTCTAGGGAGTTTTTCCTAGCCACGGTGCTTCTACATCTGCATTGCTTGCTGTTTGGAGTTTTAGGCTGGGTTTCTGTATAAGCACTTTGTGACATCTGCTGATGTAAAAAGGGCTTTATAAATACATTTGATTTGATCTGTACTCCACAATTAAATGTAAATTAACAATTAAAACCAATTTAAGACAAAGTATTTGTTGTTGATTTGTCTTTAAATGGTATTTTACAAAAAAATAAAAAAATAATTGTTTATGTGTTAGCAATGGGAATTAGTTTTTCGGGTGGATAGTCTACAAATGGCACATGGATAGTCTACAAAATTTCAAAATTATTGAAAGTGTTACATGTTTTTGTTTTACAACCATTTGTCAGCCCCTTCACTTGAATCCCCTTGTGCCTAAGCCCCACCCACCAGGACACGTTACATCAGCCCCAAGCCAATCAGGAGATTTTACAGCCAGAGGCGTCATTCAGTTCCACAGCGGACAGGAAGTCATTAGACACACGAGAGAGATCAGCAAAGGAGAGACCCCTCACTTGACACTAAGTGGTAAATCATACGCATCACCGGAAATAAATGGTCAAACAGCAGAAATTGTTTTATGTGCAATTTTTGTGTGACCTTTGAAACCTTTGCTGATGCTACAGAGACTGTTCCCCCAAGTGCTGATCCAGGACCTGCTTGTCATTCTGACCAGACCTGGGGGAGAGTAGCCCTGTCTGTCCAGGTCCACACAGATCGCAGACTCCTCTTTATTGCTGTGAGGGTTATAGGTCAGAGTGTTTGGCCTCTGCGTCGGACTCAAAGGAAGCGTTGTCTGTGGGGGCTGAGGAGGGGGAGGACTGGGACTTGGGGGTGCCTTTGAAGGATCTGTCCTTGGCGGGGGAGAATCGGAACTCCTCTGGGACCTCATCCTCAGGCTGAGCCTTCTTGTAGAAGCCCAACTTCTCCAGCAGCTCGTTGATCTCAGAGCGGGCCATGTCGGACAGGGCGATGCGCTGAACAGGACAGGCATACAGGCTCTATACCCTATTCTTTCACAAGATGTAGCATTGCACAAATAGGTTTGTCATACAATTTCTGTGCAATAGTAGGCCCACCCTTTACATGCATGCATCTCAATGACAAATATTTTCTTAACCATTATAGCTCACTAGTGAGAACCTACAAACAGCACAGAAAATTAACACCAGAGATGTGATAAAGATACAGTAAAACTTCAGAGTGTGTTTCAGCAGCTCACTTACGTCCAGCTCTTCGTAGTAGTGGTTGAGGAGGACAAGCTCAGGTTCGGCCCCAGGGATGTGCTACATTACCAGGTTATGGCTGGGGTGGCATGGGTCAAGGGTCGCAAACAGGGAAATGCAATGCTCGTGGAAAGGCGTCTGACACCCCAGTCCAGGACCTGCTGTCTTGTCATACCAGCTATACTGAACAAAAATATTAACGCAACATGTAAAGTGTTGGTCCCATGTTTCATGAGCTGAAATAGAAGATGTACAAAAGCTGAAGAACATACGCACATCCAGGTATTTTCCGCAGGTGCTGGAGTTGTAGGCAAACTCATGGAAAACAGAAAGGAAAACGCTGTACACTGCTGCTCATGCGGTCTAAGGCACTGCATCGCAGTCACTACAGACCCGGGATCGATCCCGAGCTGTATCACAACCTACCGTGATCGGGAGTCCCATAGGGCGGCGCACAATTGGCCCAGCGTCGTCCGGGTTAGGGGAGGGTTTGGCCGGGGGGCTTTACTTGGCTCATCGCGCTCTAGCAACTCATCGCGCCGGGCGCCTGCAGGCTGACCTTGGTGTTTCCTCCGACACATTGGTGCGGTTGGCTTCCGGGTTAAGCGGGTGGGTGTTAAGTTTGGCGGGTCATGTTTTGGAGGACATATGACTCGACCTTCACCTCCCGAGAGTTGCAGCGATGAGACAAGATCGAAATTGGGGAGAAAAAAATTATAAACAGCATGTTCATTACACAGGTGCACCTTGTGTTGGGGACAATAAAAGACCACTCTAAAATGTGCAGTTGTCACAGATGTCTCAAGTTTTGAGGTAGCGTGCAATTGGCATGCTGAATGCAGGAATGTCCATCAGAGCTGTTGCCAGATAATTGAATGTTCATTTCTCTACCATAACCTGCCTCCAACGTCATTATAGAGAATTTGGCAGTACGTCCAACCGGCCTCACAACCGCAGACCACATGTAACCACGCCAGCCCAGGAACTCCACATCTGGCTTCTTCACCTGCGGGATCATCTGAGACCACCCACCAGGACAGCTGATGAAACTGTGGGTTTGCACAACCGAAGAATTTCTGCACAAACTGTCAGAAACCGTCTCAGGGAAGCTCATCTGCATGCTTGTCATCTTCACCAGTGTCTTGACCTGACTGCAGTTCGGCGTCATAACTTTCTTCGGTTGGCAAATGCTCCCCTTCGATGGCCACTGGCACGCTGGAGAAGTGTGTTTTTCACGGATGAAGCCCGGTTTCAACTGTACCGGGCAGATGGCAGTATGGCGTCGTGTGGGCGAGCGGTTTGCTGATGTCAATGTTGTGAACAGAGTGCCCCATAGTGGCAGTGGGGTTATGTATGAAAATGTATGCACTCACTAACTGTAAGTCGCTCTGGATAAGAGCGTCTGCTAAATGACTAAAATGTAAAAAATGTTATGGTATGGGCAGGCATAAGCTATGGACAATGAACACAATTGCATTTTATCGATGGCAATTTGAATGCACAGAGATACTGTGACAAGATCCTGAGGCCCATTGTTGTGCCATTCACCCGCCGCCATCACCTCATGTTTCAGCATGATAATGCACGGCCCCATCTCGCACACAATTCGTGGAAGCTGAAAATGTCCCAGTTCTTCCATGGCCTGCATACTGACCAGACATGTCACCCATTGAGCATGGTTGGAATGCTCTAGATCGACGAGTACGACAGCGCGTTCCAGTTCCCACCAATATCCAGCAACTTCACACAGCCATTGAAGAGGAATGGGACAACATTCCACAGGCCACAATCAACAGCCTGATCAACTCTATGCGAAGGAGATGCGTCATGCTGCATGGGGCAAATGATGGTCACACCAGATACTGATTGGTTTTCTGATCCACGCTCCTACCTTTTTTTTTAAGGTATCTGTGACCAACAGATGCATTTCTGTATTCCCAGTCATGTGAAATCCATAGATTAGGGCCTAATGAATTTATTTTATTGGCTGATTTCCTTATATGAACTGTAACTCAGTAAAATCGTTGAAAATGGTTCCGTTTATATTTTTCTTCAGGTAGTAGGAAATTGTTTCATGTGAGGTTTGGACTTTGTGCTCCATACAGGACAGGGATCCTAAAGCACTTCAGTTATGAGATGACTTCAGGACAGGCTTGCATGCTGGAGGTGTGACTGCTTCAGGACAGAAAGCTATCTGCAGGGTAAGTTTACGGCTTGCTTTAGGGTTATCAGAATGTATATAAGCTTCTGTATGCAGAAATAGCTTTCATTTACTTTGTCAGATGGTGAATGCAAATGTGTAGTAAATGTATCTGCTGTGTAACTATTCTCGTTACTCCATACGGCAGCACTTTACATTAAACGTACATACACTATATATACAGAAGTATGTGGACACCCCTTCAAATTAGTGGATTCGGCTATTTCATCCACACCTGTTGCTGACAGGTGTATAAAATTAATCACACAGCCATGCAATCTCCATAGACAAACTCCACTGGCTTCCAGTTGAAGCTCGCATCTACTACAAAACCGTGGTGCTTGCCTACGGAGCTGTGAGGGGAACGGCACCTCCTTACCTTCAGGCTCTGATCAGACCCTACACCCAAACGAGGGCACTACGTTCATCCACCTCTGGCCTGCTAGCTCCCCTACTTCTACGGAAGCACAGTTCCTGCTCAGCCCAGTCAAAGCTATTCGCTGCTCTGGCACCCCAATGGTGGAACAAGCTCCCCCACGACGCCAGGACAGCGGAGTCACTGACCACCTTCCGGAGACACTTGAAACCCTACCTCTTTAAGGAATACCTGGAATAGTATAACAGTAATCCTTCACCATGTGCAATGACAAGTGTTGGCTGGAGTGGTGTAAAGCTCGCTGCCATTGGACTCTGGACCAGTGGAAACGCGTTCTCTGGAGTGATGAATCACGCTTCACCATCTGGCAGTCGGACGGACGAATCTGGGTTTGGCGGATGCCAGGTAAATGCTACCTACCCAAATGCATAATGCCAACTGTAAAGTTTGGTGGAGGAGGAATAATGGTCTGGGGCTGTTTTTCATGGTTCGGCTAGGCCCCTTAGTTCCATTGAAGGGAAATCTTAATGCTACAGCATACAATGACATTCTAGACGATTCTGTGCATCCAACTTTGTGGCAACAGTTTGGGAAGGCCCTTTCCTGTTTCAGCATGACAATGCCCCCATGCACAAAGCGAGGTCCATACAGAAATTGTTTATCGAGATCGGTGTGGAAGAACTTGAACGGCCTGCACAGAGCCCTGACCTCAACCCCACCGAACACCTTTGGGATTAATTGAAACGCAGACTGCGAGCCAGGCCTAATCGCCCAACATCAGTGCCCGACCTCATTAATGCTCTTGTGGCTGAATGGAAGCAAGTCCCCACAGCAATGTTCCAACATCTAGTGGAAAGCCTTCCCAGAAGAGTGGAGGCTGTTATAGCAGCAAAAGGGGGACCAACTCCATATCAATGCCCATGATTTTGGAATGAGATGTTCGACGATCAGGTGTCCACATACTTTTGGTCATGTAGTGTAGTTTATAAATCAGTGAGAAGGCCGTTCATTATTTATTCTAAGGTGGTTAAATCAGATAGAAACATGGTCAACAAGTGAATCCAGACCTTATTCAGTGCATGGCTTACATATCACGGGAGAGCACCTACCTACCACACATTGGCTATCACATCTCTGCACGTCTGCCATCACAAGCACCAAAATGAAAAAGATACTAAAGAGGAATGTCCTCGATCACAAAGGCTTTGACCTGAGGAAAGAAGAGTTGATGATTAGTGTAACTCAGCTTTTTTGGGCAAACCGCGATACATTTTACAAATACTTCAACACTTGCAATATATCAATCTACAATATCCTACATATACAGATAAGACTGTTGATTAGGATAGGTCTACTTAAGAGCTTACCTCTCTCAGCCTGTTCAGCTGTCATTCTCTGCATGACTGAGAAACAGACATAAAACAGGCTAGTGGTTATAGATCCACCCCAGGACAGGAGCAGGGCAGTAGGCGACTGACTGACTGTGTAGATTGATGAGGGGAAAAAAGTATTTAATACATTTTAGAATAAGGCTGCAACGTAACAAAATGTGAAAAAAGTAAAGGGGTCTGAATACTTTCCGAATTAACTTTATCTGCGAGCTGTTGGCTAGAGCGCACATGCCAATACCACAGTGGGCACACGCTATATAACACTTTATTTTGTGAAAAAAACATCAGTAGAGAAAATGCGATGGAAACCCATTTAATGTCTATTTTTATTCGGTACATGGATTTAACCGCAAATTTCAGTTTTATATGCACTACGTCATCACACACAGACTTTTATCCCCAACAAGTAAATTATGGAAACATCTCTGGTGGGAAAATGCGCATATTGTTTTTATGCAGATTTTTGAATATTTGCATGAAAATCTGTCGACAATTGGATGGAAACCCAGCTAGTGGTGTGTTCCATAGGAGGCTGCTGAGGGGAGGAAAGCTCATACTAATGGCTGGAATGGAGTGTATGGAATTCCATTTATACCGTTCCAGCCATTACAATGAGTCATCCTCTCCAATGAAGGTGCCACCAGCCGCCTGTGGTTTCCAACAAACAGACTTGTTGCGGATAAAAGTCAGTTCATGATGACGTAGTGCACACAAAATGTACTTTTTCGCTTACGTTTTCATGTACCGAATAAAAATCTAAAGTTCAATGTGTTTCCATCGCATTTTCAACTCTACAGATAGTTTTGTCACAAATGTGCCTACTCTGGTCTTGGCACCTGCGCGCTAGCCAACAGCTAGAAGATACAGTGAAGGTAGGCTAGCCCTACACAGCTGATTCAAATAATCGAAGCTTGATGATGAGTTGGTTATTTGAATCAGCTGTGTAGTGCTAGGGCAAAAACCAAATCATGCACCCAGGAGGGGCCCCAGGACCAAGTTTTGGAAACCCTGACCTAATAAACTGTATGGTTTCCCGAGTCGTAGTGGGAGGACCACACACCATATCATCGCGTGACTCCAAGTTTACTTCTATATGATGGTTATCAACTATATTAATATTTGCGCATAAAGGTGTTTCCAACACCATTTCTCGCATAATTAATTTTCCAGACACAAAAAGATCCCACCATGTCGAACGAACAAATTATCGGTTGGCATTTCGAAAATTGTACCGGCATTTCATGTTTCCATCAGCCCGGTAGTGACTTTTTTCATTGGTCAGGTCAGGTAATTCATCTGCATGAAATGGTTGGATGGAAAAGTGGTTAGTGTTCACAATTCCTGACATTTAATCCTAGTAAAAATTCCCTGTCTTAGGTCAGTTAGGATTACCACTTTATTTTAAGAATGTGAAATGTCAGAATAATAGTAGAGAGAACGATTTATTTCAGCTTTTATTTCTTTCATCACATTCCCAGTGGATCAGCTTTTATTTCTTTCATCACATTCCCAGTGGATCAGAAGTTTACATACACTCAATTAGTATTTGGTAGCATTGCCTTTAAATTGTTTAACTTGGGTCAAACGTTTTGGGTAACCTTCCACAAGCTTCCCACAATAAGTTGGGTGAATTTTGGCCCATTCCTCCTGACAGAGCTGGTGTAACTGAGTCAGGTTTGTAGGCCTCCTTGTTCGCACACATTTTCTATAGAATTGAGGTCAGGGCTTTGTCATGGCCACTCCAATACCTTGACTTTGTTGTCCTTAAGTCATTTTGCCACAACTTCGGAATTATGCTTGGGGTCATTGTCCATTTGGAAGACCCATTTGCAACCAAGCTTTAACTTCCTGACTGATGTCTTGAGATGTTGCTTCAATATATCTACATAATTTTCCTTCCTCATGATGCCATCAATTTTGTGAAGTGCACCAGTCCCTCCTGCAGCAAAGCACCCCCACAGCATGATGCTGCCACCCCCGTGCTTCACGGTTGGGATGGTGTTCTGCGGCTTGCAAGCGACCCCCTTTTTTCTCCAAAAATAACAAATGGTCATTATGGCAAAAACAGTTCTATTTTTGTTTCTTCAGACCAGAGGACATTTCTCCAAAAAGTACAATCTTTGTCCCCATGTGCAGTTGCAAACCGTAGTCTGGCTTTTTTATGGCGGTTTTGGAGCAGTGGCTTCTTCCTTGCTGAGCGGCCTTTCAGGTTATGTCGATATAGGACTCGTTTTACTGTGGATATAGATACTTTTGTACCTGTTTCCTCCAGCATCTTCACAAGGTCCTTTGCTGTTGTTCTTGGATTGACTTGCACTTTTCGCACCAAAGTACGTTCATCTCTAGGAGACAGAACGCGTCTCCTTCCTGAGCGGTATGACGGCTGCGTGGTCCCATGGTGTTTATACTTGCATACTATTGTTTGTACAAATGAACGTGGTACCTTCAGGCATTTGGAAATTGCTCCCAAGGATGAACCAGACTTGTGGAGGTCTACAAAAAATTGTCTGAGGTCTTGGCTGATTTCTTTTGATTTTCCCATGATGTCAAGCAAAGAGGCACTGAGTTTGAAGGTAGGCCTTGAAATACATCCACAGGTACACCTCCAATTGACTAAAATGATGTAAATTAGCCTATCAGAAGCTTCTAAAGCCATGACATCATTTTCTGGAATTTTCCAAGCTGTTTAAAGGCACAGTCAACTTAGTGTATGTAAACTTCTGACCCACTGGAATTGTGATACAGTGAATTATAAGTGAAATAATCTGTCTGTAAACAATTGTTGGAAAAATTACTTGTGTCATGCACAAAGTAGATGTCCTAACCGACTTGCCAAAACTATAGTTTGTTAACAAGACATTTGTGGAGTGGTTGAAAAACAAGTTTTAATGATTCCAACCTAAGTGGGCGAAAAACAAGTTTTAATGACTCCAACCTAAGTGTATGCAAACTTCCGACTTCAACTGTATGTATCACACAGGTAAATGCCAACTCAAGCGACAACACATTTTTCGCCCAATGATCCAGGCAGGTGTGATGCACCCTGGAGGATAATAGTATGTTCTCTCTCACAAAGAGGAGAAATATATTTGAAAAAGACATTGTTAGCACACTGTAAATTAAACCGTAGATCTCATCTTTCTGCCACATTGAAATAATTAATTTGTCATTATATTGAACACAATGATTACAGGAAGTAGGTAATCCGTTTGGGCTACACCCTTGAGAGTCTGTCTTTACCCATAGGTCATATCACTGTATTGCACTTATTTCCTAAAATGTTTGGTCAAATGCTAATATCATAGAGAAGCACCCATAGGCGCAGAAACGAGGATGGTTTCACTTACAGCATCCATTCATTAATTTTCCTCCTCACAAACACGTACGCATGCGCACATATGACAACAGGCTACACTATAATGAAATGATCTATTCGTTTATCCAGTGACCAAACATGATCCATAATTATATCCACCAATATAAAGCCTAGCTCTTATTGATTCTCGTCTTAGGCTACTTTGTAGTAGCCTACATTTGTTTACAATAACCATATAATAGAATAGAATATATGAACGCAATTGCATACTATTTGTTACCTCCACCTACGCTTCTACGAGACCATCCAGTTTCTTCAGATCTACATCATAAGCCGACACACAGTGAAGTAATCTGGCAAAAATTAACAACCACATATTTTCCTTTGATTCCTGCGTGGCAAGTAGATTCGTGCAGAGCAGACGGTCTTGCTCATTCGGGTCGTCCAACTAGTCTGCAAACCTCTTCGTACTTGCAGCAGGTATTCTTGAAAAACAAGATGTGCTGCTCTAAGGTGATGTTCAACTACTGTCAAGTCCGGACCCTTTGCCACGTCAATTGCATTCCTGGGCCACATTCAGTTTTCAAAACGTTCCCGAACGTTGCAGATAGAAATCCCATGAATGGAGCCGACGTGATTCCTTATTCTACATGTTGGAGTGGCATGTTAGTTCTACATAGCATATTTAAAGTGCATTCGGAAAGTATTCAGACACCTTAACTTTTTCCACATTTTGTTATGTTACAGCCTTATTTTAAAATTGATTAAATAGTTTTTTTCCCCTCATCAATCTACACACAATACCCCATAATGACAAAGCAAAAACAGGTTTTTATAAATATTTGCTATTTTATAACAAATAAAAAAGTGAAATATTAGATTTACATAAGTATTCAGACCCTTTACTCAGTACTTTGTTGAAGCACCTTTGGCAGTGATTACAGCCTCAAGTCTTCTTGGGTATGACGCTACAAGCTTGGCACACCTGTATTTGGGGGAGTTTCTCCCATTCTTCTCTGCAGATCATCTCAAACTCTGTCAGGTTGGATGGGGAGCGTCGCTGCACAGCTATTTTCAGGTCTCTCCAGAGATGTTCGATCGGGTTCAAGTCCGGGCTCTGGCTGGGCCACTCAAAGGCATTCAGAGACTTGTCCCGAAGCCACGCCTGCGTTGTCTTGGTTGTGTGCTTAGGGTCGTTTTCCTGTTAGAAGGTGAACCTTCGCCCCAGTCTGAGGTCCTGAGTGCTCTGGAGCAGGTTTTTATCAAGGATCTCTCTGTACTTTGCTCCATTTTTCCCTCGATCCTGACTAGTCTCCCATTCCCTGCCGCTGAAAAACATCCCCACAGCATGATGCTGCCACCACCATGCTTCACCGTAGGATGGTGCCAGGTTTGAGTGACACTTGGCATTCAAGCCAAAGACTTCAATCTTGGTTTCATCAGAACAGAGAATCTGGTTTTTCATGGTCTGAGAGTCCTTTAGGTGCCTTTTGGCAAACTCCAAGCGGGCTGTCATGTGCCTTTTACTGAAGAGTGGCTTCCGTCTGGCCACTCTACCATAAAGGCCTGATTGGTGGAGTGCTGCAGAGATGGTTGTCCTTCTGGAAGGTTCTCCAATGTCCACAGAGGAACTCTGGAGCTCTGTCAGGGCAGCCAGCTCTAGGAAGAGTATTGGTAATTCGAAACTTCTTCCATTTAAGAATGATGGAGGCCACTGTGTTCTTGGGGACCTTCAATGCTGCAGAAATGTTTTGGTACCCTTCCCCAGATCTGTGCCTGACACAATCTTGTCTCGGAGCTCGAAGGCCAATTCCTTCATCCTCATGGCTTGGTTTTTGCTCTGACCTTATATACACAGGTGTGTGCCTTTCCAAATCATGTCCAATCAATTGAATTTACCACAGGTGGACTCCAATCAAGTTGTAGAAACATCTCAAGAATGATCAAATGAAACAGGATGCACCTGAGCTCAATTACGAGTCTCAGAGCAAAGGGTCTGAATACCTATGTAAATAAAGTATTTCTGTTTTTTATTTTTATTACATTTGCAAACATTTCTAAAAACCTGTTTTTGCTTTGTCATTATGGGGTATTGTGTTTAGATCGATGAGGGGAAAAAATTATTTAATCAATTTTAGAATAAGGCTGTAACATAACAAAATGTGGAAAAAGTCAAGGGGTCTGAATACTTTCCGAATGCACTGTATACCGGAGAACACACAAATCATTAGCAGCAGGGAGCAGGGTGGGATAAATAAAGTATTATGCACACTCTTTAAGATAAACACACTTATGATTAAACACTCTTTATAAGATAGCACACTGATTGTAAACTCTATGTAAGATAGCACATTGATGCAATACTTTTGTGGATAACATACTTGTGGTAATTAGCGTGCATGCACAAACTTAAATACATCACACTGGTTGAATCAACGTTGTTTCCACATAATTTCAATGAAATTACGTTGAACCAATGTGGAATAGATGTTTAATTGATTGTCTGTGCCCACTGGGATAGTGGTGACAGTTTAAGACAAAAACAAAAACAAACATATAACAAATCAAAATAAACTAGTGCACCTGATAAGGCAACCCCAAATCTTTTGCAGTGGTACCAGCTCTTTTGCCAGGGCAAATGCGTCTCTAAAGCTCTGAAAAATACAAACATAATTACACCCTGGCTCATTTAGAAATAGCAATATCAAACTTTTATACTTTATTAAATACACAACATTATCAAATAGACTCAATTCACATTACAATGTTACAAGCAGTGCTGGTAGGCCATACACAACCAACAAAATGGTGTCAATACCACATCTCACAGACAGCGTTTATCACATCACTGAAACACAAATCATTGTTTTACATGGCTGTCGTATTACTTTAGCAAGCGGTAAAACATTCACAGAACCAGAAACCAAAGTTAGCTTACCAAAGTTCGACAAAGTTTCATAAACACAGCCAAAAGGTGTGAACAGGGAATGTGCTTCCCTGTCCTCTGGGGAAGAATCAACACTCCCCCAAAGAATTACGCTTTAGGTATATATGCAAATTGCTCAACTCATCTCATAGCGGCCACTAGGTGCCACTGGCTACACTCATTTTACCAAACAAAAGTGGCAGGGTCAGACTGTTGAAATGACAGATTGTACCGTTGAAATTACAGATTGTACCTTTAAACAGTACCTAATTGGTGGATAAACAAGTGAGACCAATAAAGCATACAGGTGCTATGCCCCATGGCCATATTGGGGATGGAACTGAGCCAGACCCATCCACAACAATAAATGGGGGAATTTCACTCACAGTTTGAAGGTCATGAATTTTACAGAGGTTTTACACTGTCATTCAGGAAGTCATACGCCTTATGTGGTGGACAGGAACCCTGGGATGTTGCCTTGGTAACTTAATGTTGCTGTCAATCACAGCTTCAGAACAAAGTTATGTGTGGGTTATAGCTCATTAAAAGTGATAATTTCATTAGTGGTGATGCTGATGTTAGGATTCTGTTTTTTTAAAGGTTTATCTTAACCTGGAGTCTATTTAGTGTTGTTTCAGCACAGAGATTCATAGCTATTTGTCATAGGAAATACACAGTGCTTATGCATACAGACAGTGGGTAAACCTATTCATGAATATGAATAATTAATAATCTTCAATTATGAATGCCTGTCTCATTGTTGCATTGCAAATTATCTCTGTATTGTGACCATTATGGCCTAGGCCTACTCCACTATAATTGTATGTTATTGTAATTTTAATAGATGGGGGACATATGTTTAATGATAATACATTCTGCAATATTATAATGCTCTCGTTTTAAATTATACATTTTATTCCCTCATTATCAAGAGCTTGATGGTGGAGCTCGGGCCCGAGGTAATTCTTTATTGTGTAGTTCGTGGGAACTTAAGTGTAGCCTACTGCCTCTGGTAACTGAGAAATACTTAGAAACACAAGTAGTCCACACTCGGGCCACTTTTACATAATAGGCCACACGAGACTTAACGAAACCTGCTATAGTAACAACATGACATTTAAATATGGATACGTCGCGCGCGCGCCTGGAGTCGTTGAATGGCTGCAAGTGTAGGATAGTGGGCGGCCTGTAGCCTAGGTATACAGACCCCAGAGCGGGGTATAGACTAGCCCTAGGACATGGATAGGACTGATTGTAATAAATGGTAAATAAGAGGTATCAAGGCACATTTTTATATTGTTAATTTTAATGAAAGATTGTAAAGATGCGCAAAGACGCCCGTTCCACCTCGTCAAATTGCACGGCATTGAGCAACCTTCACGGTTCCATTTCTGTAAAGAGACAGTTCACAAATATAACCGCTGTGCGGCGGTAATGCTCCACAATCTCTACTGTAGGCTGTCTGAGTAACTACTCATCATCAACAGAGCAACGCGTAGTGGACGTTCGCGTACGGAACCGGCCGAAAGAGTGTTCACATTCACAATTTAAAGGGCATAGGCTACCAAACAGTCCAAGCCCTAACGGTTTAATCGACGCAGTATTTGCATTCGGCGTGTAACGGTTGTTCTATCGTTCAGACTATAAACTGATAAGCGCAACGGGTGAATATGGACGTACGCCTGGTTTGTTTATGAAATGTAGCCTATGTTTCTCTCGTGAGCGTGGATTTGGAACCTTGCAAAAGTTCACTTGGTAGCTCACCTGCTCTCTATCGCCAGTGTGGAACGGGCTGTGATGCGGATGGTTTCATTTGAAGAAAGTCAGGCAGGTCTGATATTATAACAGTATTGTAACGGGGAAGGCTATTTAAACCTCATCCTCTGACAAGGCGTAAATACAGTAATAGCTCAGACCTATTCATCCTCAGGAGAGGTTGCGCCGAATAAGCATCAAGCTATACTCTAACTAACCAAGCATTCATTCGGAGGGGTTATCTCGTCGCCTGTCATTCTTTCATCTGTAATATTGACTGAACAGGTAATTTAGTTCTGTAACTGTGTTATAGTAAAGACACGTCATTGCATGCTTCTGCCAATGTAGGCGACCTGCTGAGCACAACACTGAATACAATCCTAAACATTTACATTTTAGTAATTTAACAGACGCTGTTATCCAGAGTGACTTACAGTAGTGAGTGCGTACTTTTTCATATTTGTTCGTATTATATTATTTCTGATGATTTCATGTATTTAATCTGGTGTCCTCTGACTCACTGTAACATCCAGAGTTGTTACATAACATAAACATGATCACTACAAGCTGTACAGTAAAAAAAGAAATCTCACACACTTGATGGTAACATGGAAATAATGTAAACAAACATTGACAGTGTTCTTCTTCACATTATCAGTTTCAGATGTCTTACTCAGAAAAGTGGTACAAATCAT